CCCGAGGGGTTTTGTGACTGGCTGCTCAATGGCCTGGAAGCCTTGAGAGAAGAGAACGCCGAAATGACTTTGGCCGTGCATCAACATACACCATCTTCCCGGATATGGGAATCAGTGCCAGTGGAAGTGGAGAGCACCCCCGAAGGACAGCTCAGGCAACAGATGAACATCCTCGATGGGCACCATCGATATGACTACATTTCCTTCCTGGGAGTCTCGAGCAACCTCACCAAGAAGGTCAAGTCAACGTTGGCACACCTTCATGTTGCTCTGGGGCACATATCCAATGACAAGTTAGCACGGATGATGTCCCAAAATGGTGCTAAGCCATCGGTGATCCAAGCGATCAAAGACCTGAGCTGCCAAATATGCCGAAGAGTGACGGCACCTCACATCACTCCAAAAAGTGCCTACACCCGCCCGATGTCCTGGAATGTGAGAATTTGCTCAGACACCTTCTACGTCTGGGACGCAAAGGCCACTCGCTATGCGATCACGCACTTGATCGACAGCTTCTCGCTCTATCAAGTGGCGGTGGCCGCACCGGATGCCAACGCCCAAACAACAGTTGGGCTGCTGAGGGACTCCTGGTTCCGGGCTTTTGGACCGCCCCAAGTTTTGATGTCAGACCAGGGTCCGGAATACCAGGGTGCGGTGGAGCCCTTGTTGCGCACCTTTGGGGTGTTTCATGATATGGTGCCTCCGTCAGCATCATGGAGGATGGGGCTCGCTGAGAGGCACGGTGCGGTGTTGAAGGTCATGCTCATGAAAATGATCAAGCAAAGCACCATCATCGGCCTCGAAGAGATGCAGACGGCGACGGTGGCCGCCACTGCTGCTCGCAATCTGCAGGCCAGGGTTGCTGGATACTCGCCGATGCAACTCATTTTTGGCAAGGAGATCAGCATGCCTGGCAACTTGATGGAGGCGATTGCGGGCCAGTTCCAGTTCAAGGTGTCACAACCTCAGACGATGGATGAGGCATACCATCGAGCGGCAGCCATCAGGCGGGCGGCAACCGAGGCATATCAATGGCTAGAGGCCAACGAGGCTTTGAAGAGAGCTGCTGGGTCCCGGTCGAGGTTGCCTCGGATGGAACTTCTGGTGGAGGGCACCCAGGTCATGTTCTATGAGCCGCCGATCAGCCGCCGTGGTCTGGCTCGTCGCCTGCAGGATAACATCTCTTGGGTGGGACCAGCCGTCGTGGTGGCTGTCGAGCGGCTGGATGGTGCAATCAAGCGGGTCTGGATTAGATACAGGCATAAGCTGAAGGGGCTGCCGCTAGAGCACATCAGACTCGCCACTGGAGATGAGATCGAGGCCACCAAGGTGACGAAGGAAGCCTTGCAGGAGCTCGCGAACCAGCTGAAGTCAGGACGAGTAAATGCCGAGTTGATCCCCACCCATGGTGAAGGAGAACAGCCTGCCGCTCAAGCAGCACCGGCCCCGGCCTTGGATCCTCGTTATCCCGTGATGAACCTGAGCGACGATGAGCAACAGCCTTCAGATGATGATGTGGGCCCGGAGGCCTTGAAGAAGGCGACATCAGTGCTGGATGATCTGCCAATGTCGGTCGCGCTCAGAAGATCCGAAGGACGGAGGGTCCAGCAGCCGAACGGTCAACTCGGAGGAGGTTATCCCCGGCCGAGCTAGAGGAGTCTTCCATTCGGGCAGCCGTGGCATCATCTTCATCGGTTGACCCGGCTCTCCGGACGGTCCGCCAGAAGAGGGACTTCTATGAGACGGCTTTCCGGACCACGCAAGAAGATGAAGGTGAAGTTGGAGAAGAAAAGTGCCTTGGTGATGACACCTGTGGCTAACACCTCCGGAGCAGTTGAGGCGGGTGAGAATGGAGAGTCCGAGGAAGTACACAGTGGTGATCCCACCTACAGTCCATTCACCTCCGAGGATTCCAACCAGACCGAGGTCTCCATCAGTTCGCCCTTCATTGAAGTCGATATGTTTGAGGAGACTTGGAAGGAGGTTGGGTCACAGGCGCCGGCACCAAGGGCTGAAGAACAACAGGATGCATATGTCACCGACATGCTCTCTGAATCCCAGCCTCTGGACTATGACTATGATGCGCTGGCAGCCGGGTGGAGGGCGGATGGTTTCAGAAGAGTTGGCATGTTGCGCAACCCCTCTCCGTGTACCCGAGCGAAGGTGCCTGGTGACCGTTGGAGGCTACTGGGAGATGTGCCGAGCAGGTTGAGACGGCCACTCACACAGACTGAGGTGCTGGAAGCATATCGTCGGGGACACATCAACACGGGTCAAACATACCCTGGGGTGGCGCAACAGGGACTTCACGAAGATGATGATCGAGAGGAGATGGCCACAAGCCCTCGAGGAGAGAAAGACTACTGGTTGCACTCTCCCTATCAACGTGAAGTCTGGAGGGTACACCTGAGGCCGCGAAGGAGGATGTTTGTCCCGGGTGTGGTTCCGGACGGAGAACATATACAAGATGGAGAGCCTCTACCTGATGCAGTACCCGGACTACAAGGGCTACGGGCTACGCAGGTGGGATATCAAACTCCGATTGGAACCAAGGAGTACATCCTGGACAACATACACTGGCGTGGCTGGAACACGTCAGTTGACCTGAACCGCACCTGGAGGGGCATCACTCGCTTTGTGACCCTGGACCCCGCCACGGATTATCCAATTTTGGCTACATGGATGCAGGGTCGACAAGCAGTGGAGGAACTCTGGAGGCAGGCGGCTCGAGCCAATGTGGCCTATAAGGAGGTGATTGCTGAGGTGAACATCACTGAGCTCGAGCAGGGCAAACCTCTGGAGAGTGAGTTGCACACCAATGTGATGATGGATGTGCTGGGCTACTTCGAAGCCTTTGAAGCTGCGACAGCCCTGCCTCCTCCAACACCGGTCAGCAAGTGGCTTGGGATCCAAGAGTTAAATGACCCGGATCCGGTGACGACTCAGGATGTGGAGAAGCCCGAGACCGGCAAGATGCGGCTGGAGTTACAATGGAGTCATCTCTCACCGGCCTGGCAGCAAGCGTTCGAGCAGCCGATCATTGCGGCCTTGGAGATTTACTTTGAACACGATGCCTTGGCTCCGGTGATGCCTGAGGACATCGTTCAGGACTCCGAGATTTTGCCCAGCCGATTTGTGCTTGTCAACAAGGCCGATCCCAAGAATACCCACCCTCTCGATGAGGATTTGGATGAGGCCAAGCTCAAAGCACGGCTGGTCATTGCTGGCCATCGGGACCAACGTGCTGGGGACTATGCCACGGAGGCGCCTACGGCATCCCTGCTGGCCCACAACTTCTTGTGCTTCCTGGCTGCCCAGTTTAAGTGGAAGATGTACTTTGCGGACATCTCTGCCGCCTTTTTGCAGGGCGATTATCTCCCAGAGGGGCGCCGGGTGTTTTTGAAATCGCCCACGAACTACCCGCTCTTCGTCCGCCAGTACCTGATCACAAAGGTACCTCCGGGAGCGAGGACAGATCTCTTCAGGATGAAGAAGGCTGGCTTCGCCTCGACTATGGTACCAGCGATTCCGAAGAGACATCATCGCCATCGGCGGCAAGGAGCTACAGTTGGCCCCCGGAGTGTTCTCCTTCTTTGACACGGAAGGCAAGCTCTGGGCTATGTTGGCGGTGCATGTGGACGATGTGCGCTTCATCTGCAGTCCGCTGGCGGAAATGGAGCTATGGCCTAAGCTCAAGGGCCTGTTCACCTTCGGAGATTGGGTACATCCAGAGGAGTTCACCAAGTTTTGTGGCCGTTGGGAACGTCAACTACCTGATGGCACGGTGGAGCTCCAGATGAACGAGTATGCCAAGAAGGTGAAAGATCCACCCATGAGGTCGGCTTTCCGGGCGACGGCTCCCTTGATGCCCAATGAGAAGACATGGATTGGAGCAATCATCGGGCAGCTGAGCTGGTTGGCACGCCAAGCCCGAGCAGATCTCCTTTTTGGCTGCTCACGGATCCAGCAACTGGCCGGGACGAACGATCCAGCTGCCCTTCAAGAGTTGAAGATACTGGTGGAAAGGGCCCGAGAGCAGCATGTTCAGGTCTTCAAGAAGTTGGGCTGCCATGTTGACAAGCTGGTCGTCCTCGGTGTCTCAGATGCCTCATTTGCTGGAATGCCTCGCGGCCGGTCTCAAGGAGGCTCAGTGCTGATGGTGGCCGACCCTAAGGTGCTCGATGGCGAGGCATCGGTTTGCATCCTTTCGTGCCACTCCGGAGTCCTCAAAAGGGTGGTCCGGTCTTCATTGGCCGCCGAGATCTCGCAAGCGGCCACGACCATGGAGGAGGCCGACTACCTGCGGGCATTCATGGCGGAGTCCTTGGATGGAGCGTTCACGCTCCGTGGGTGGCTCGCTTCAGTCGCCAAATGGCGGCAGCTGTCGGTCCTCGACTCCCGCACCGGCTACGACCTGCTCAACGGCACCGCATTGGGAGAAGACAAACGCCTTGCAATAGATGTGGCTTCGATGCGCCAAGCTCTTCAAGAAGATGGAGCGGCAAGGCTGGTGCGCTGGGTGCCGGGTGAGGAGATCATAGCAGATGATCTCACGAAGCTTGCAGGAAACAGCAAGCTCATGAAGGTCATGGCGACCGGGCAGTGGGCCCTCAAGGACACGGAGATCGCCAAGAAGCTCCGTGGTGATGCGGCAGCCCGAAAGAGGGCATTCCGCAAGCGGCGGGCACTGGCTCCAAGGGGGGCTGGTGTCAGTTGACCGCCAAGCCCGTCGCGGCTCCAAGACGGAAAAGGTTGCGCCGTCGAGCGTTTTCAGTATTACAAACGCAGGTACGTTTACACGGAATCTGTGGAGCGTACATCGTAGCAATTCTAGCACCATAGTTTTTTACATTCCTTAAGGACAATACTGACCTTTCTGTTCTGTTGTGGGTAACAGACACACGATGATTGGCCAAGGTTTCCTTGCAAAGACCTGGCACCACCAAGAAAATAGGGCTTTGGAGAGGTGGCAAGCTCTTCAGAACAGTAGAACTGAGCAGGCCTTCGAGGATTATTTGACTTCTGAGATCCGCTCGGACTGGCGCTCAGACATTCAGACCTGGCGTTCGGATCACAACCTCCAGTACGTGACGGTTGATGGAGCTTGATAACCATTGGCTCGAGGCTACCCATTTCTTCCAAAGAAATGCCCCTCCCTTCCCGTTGTACCACAAACTTTGCGGCACCAGCCCTGAGCCAAGGCTGTGCCAGCCACAACAGAGACAGTGGACAGCTTTGCAACACAGGCGAAGGTGCAGTTGGCAAGCATTTGCCTGCAAGCCCAAATCGATCTCCGAATGGATTTGAGACGACTTCTCCATAGCATTCGTGAGATCATCCACATCCAGGTGTGTGTGATATATATATATATACATATCAGCCTGGATTCAAGCCAAAGGCACACTCCTTGGAATTGGAGCATAGATCAGGTGGTAGATTGCATCTTGAGATCGATAGTGATCTGACAGCTCAGGATTGCCTAGCTGAAGAGAGCAGATGTGAGGTAACATCAGCAATAAGCAACAACTATAGTTAGTCCAAAATCAAGTATTGTCCATCCACAGACCCATTGTGCCGAGAAGTGCAATTATGGCAGTTCTGCTCTGTCAGGTCTTGCGGATCCAGTATGATGATGCCCAGTACAAGGTCGATAGTTTGAATTACTGACTTGCACGGGAAGAAACATTGTCATTGGGTCCATTTCGCAAAACATAACTCGCAGTCCTACCATGAGGTCTTGAAGTCTTGGGCCTGCGTTTTGGCATATTTCAGCCCTCAAGCCCATGACATATCTTATACTGTATGACTTGAGGTTCATAAATCTCATTTGAGACTTCCCGAGGCACTTGTCCTAAGTCGCTATTTCCCTTGTCCATACACTGAATGTATTCTCCACCTTGGGACATTTGTTACAGCTCCCCAACAACCAGCACAGGAGGTCAAACATACACAAGGAGGGTCGAGACCAGTACTTCTGCTAGGAGGGTGCAATGTCAGTTTGGAGGGTTGTAACTTCATCAACCATTGAACGTAGAGGCCCTGTCCAGCACAGTCCAAAGGTGCATGCAAACCTAGATCTAGCTGGAGCACTTGATATCCTTTTTTAACCAAATGTGCAAGGTTCAAAACACGCGATGATGAATTCAATAGGGCAGCCGCCTTGAGGTATCATAAGCCATCAAAAACATGTGGGTTGCGATACAACCCTTGAAGAGGCGATACGACTTGCAAAGATGCTGTGTGAACCACAGCCGGGTTCCTTGCCCAAGGATCCTAAGCTGGTTCGCGAGCGTTGTTTTGCTAAGGGGTATCCTTTCCCGACCGCGCAGGAAAAAAGGTTAAAAACATGATTTTTATCGTTTTTACCGCGGATAAGTAGAAGAAAAAGGAGCGCCCCCCCGGTAAAAACGGTAAACGGATAAAATTTACCGTTTTTACTGCGGATATGGTAGAAGAAAAAGGAGCGCCCCCCCGGTAAAAAAGGTAAACACATAAAATTTTTCGATTTTTTCCGTTTTTACCGCGGATATCGTAAAGAAAAAGGGGCGCCCCCACCGGTAAAGACGGTTTTAAAAAAATGATTTTTACCGTTTTTTTACCGCGGATATGAAATTTAAACATGGAGCGCCCCCCAGTATAAAAGACTAAACACAAATATTTTTACCGTTTTTGGCACGGAGATGGTAGAAAGGAAAAGGACAAGTCCACCTACAAAAACGGATATATAATAATACAACGTTGATTTTTAACGATATGGTAGAAGCAAAAAGAGCAAGCGACTCTTCATTAAAAAGGTAAACAACAAAAGTAGTAATTTTCACTTTGGACCGTTTTTTACCGCGAGAATGCCTCCGGACCAGGTCGCAAGCTAGAAGACCTCTGTCAACAAAAAGGTTTAAGTTTAATGTTACAGCCCGGGTATCTTCCTATAACCAGGTGGGGTTCACTCCTCCTATCATATAGGAGCGTGTGCACTTTTCAACAAGAGAAGTTTGGTGATTGATCAAAATTTCATGACTTTTAACTTTTGCAGGCAATGAAAGCCTACATCACTTGGATCGAAAACTTTCGATTTCTACCTACCGCGGATATGGCAGAAGTAACAGCGGTGACCCTCCGTTAAAAACTGAAAACACATAGACCCGTTTGCCCCCCTCGATCAAAACGGTACAAAAAGAACAACAATTAATTTTACCGTTTTGATCGCGGATATTATGGTATTGAAAAAGGAAGCGCCCGGTAAATACGGTAAAAAATAATCGATTTTTGACGTTTTTACCGCGGATATGGTAAAAGAAAAAGGAGCCCCCCCCCCCCGAAAAAACATTTTTTTTTCGTTTTTTCCCTTTTTTCCCGGGGATAGGTAGAAAAAAAAGGGAGGGCCCCCCGGCAAAAACGATAGAACCATAACATGTTTGATTTTTACCGTTTTTACCTCGGATATCGTAGAGAAAAAGGGGCGCCCCCTGGTAAAAGCGGTAAAAAAATAAAAATTTCGATTTTTTCCGTGTTTACCGTTTTTACCGCGGATATGGTAGAGAAAAAGGGGCGCCCCCCCGGTAAAAACGGTAAAACAATAAAATTTCCGATTTTTACAATTTTTACCGGGCAGATGCCTCGGATTAACCCCGTAACCCCGGCAACTACGCTAATTCAGCACAGCAAGGATCGATAGATACCTAGCTTGGATTAGATCAGATTGGATGGAATCGTTGGATGGGATAGACAATTCGGAAGATAAATGACATCATTTATTTTTCCATATTGTCTAGCCGCTCTCGGCGATACCCCAAGCGATGCCCGAAATCCAGTAAAGTGACCATCTGCACACCGCCAGACTACTGCCACTACCACTACGAATGCGAAGACCGCGACGACGACGACAACGACTATTACTACTACTACCATTACCACTACCACTACTACTACTCCTACTGCTACTGCTACTGCTACTATTGCTACTATTACTCTTACTGTGCTATTACTACTACTACTACTTCTACTACTACTACTACTACTACTGCTAGTACTGCTACTACTACCACTACCCCTACTACCACTACCACTACTACCACTACGACTACTACTACTACTACTACCTACTACCTACTACCTACTACCTACTACCTACTACCTACTACCTACTACTACTACTACTACTACTACTAACTACCTACTACCTACTACCTGCTACCTGCTACCTGCTGCCTGCTGCCTGCTGCCTGCTGCCTGCTGCCTACTACTACTACCACTACTACCACTACTACCACTACTACCACTACTACTACTACTACTACTACTACTACTACTACTACGACTACTACCTACTACCTGCTACCTACCACTACTACTACCTACTTCTACTACCTACTTCTACTACCTACTACTACTACTACTACCACCTACTACCTACTACCTACTACCTACTACCTACTACTACCTACTACCCACTACTACCTACTACCTACTACTACCTACTACCTACTACTAC